TGATGATGATGATGATAATAATAATAATAATAATAATAATAATAATAATAATAAATGTTTTAATATAAATTATTGATTTGTAATTTAGGCTATTAAAACCACATACTGACACATAAATACCAAATTAATTAAAAAATATATTTTTAAGTTACGATATGAAAGGTTCAAAGTAAAATTCCCTATTTTTAACACTTAAATTCCCTGTTTTTAACACTTAAGCTCAAGATACAAAAACATGTTATCATTCTAAAAACATCGTAAATGTCAATACATTATTATCAACGATTGTAATATGTGCTTTATGATTTAAATGAATCCCCTACTGACTCCTTATACGAACTGCAGTACTGGTCGTACCCAGCATGCACAGCAGAGCTATTAGCGCTTAGCTGAACAAGTGTAGACAGAAGACAACAACAACAGCATGATCCCAGCCAAACGCCAGGCTGTTGGACTAGACCAGCTATGGACCCCGATAACGAGTATCAGTACATGGCAACAAAAGTGTGGCTCTTGCTGACTAGTCATCTGGCTCGATGAGGAGGTTGATTTTATTGCTAAATGTCCACTAAGGTGCTCATTGTTTCTCAAGTGTTTTAAAATATACTGCTGCTAAATATCTCGAGTCTATGTGCGAGTGTCTTCCGGCGGGAGCAGCAGCAGCAGCGGTGCCATGAACAGTGGACTCCCAGCTTCAGCTGCTCCGCTCGGGGGTGTCGGAATACCCGGTGTGAAGGTGAAATTCTGCCGTTATTATGCGAAAGACAAGACTTGTTTTTACGGAGATGAATGCCAGTTTCTGCACGAGGACCCGTCCATGGCGAGCCTTTCTCTGCACGGTGGTGGTACAGGTGCTGGCGGCGGCGGCGGAGGAGGAAGCCCCGTCTCATTATCTCTCGCCGGAGGAGCAGTGACGGCGGGATACGTGCTCGGAAATAGCGCGGCCAGCGGCGCTCCGGCAAACGTTCCCAAAAAGAACGATTCTCTCGGTCCCGCAGGAACAGCTCTGGAGGGACATCTGTTGTCCAGTAAGTTTGCACTGAGGCCTAACGTATCCTGTCCTCTGTTGTTGTTCGGTTATGGGGCTACACGGCGGCTTTTGTTTAAATCGAGGCCGTGGATTCAGCGGCCTACCTCTCGCTACCAAAACAACACTGGAAATCAACGTTACTCCACAGCGCGCAAGCACTTTTAAACGAAAGACGAAAATACTAGAACAACCGAAGCAAAGGCGTTTAGTTAATACTCTACGTGGTTTCTGCTGGTTTCAAAGTGTTCTTCCAAATGCATAAGTTTAGTATTTGTTAACTGATAGGTATGGCAAGCCAATTTAACATTTATCTTAGATCATTCTCAAAAGGAGGTTATGGCACTAAGGAATTTTGGTACTCAAAGGAAACTGGTCCTATTAAAAGAATACAAACACACTCCAATATAGTAGGTGGCGGTATGCACCTCTAATGTTGGTCTGTACTGTAACATGACATAAAACTGGAAGAAGAACAGTTATCTTTTAAAGCCCTAAACACACTGCACGATTTTCCACTGTCCCAGACGCAAGAATGGCATCGTGAAACGATCGTGGCGATTTCTGTGATCGTGGCTCCTAGTCGGTGCTCTTATGTCGTACAGTGAGAGAGGTTCAAAGACGGCCGTTGTCACGAATCCTTTGACCAAAGATAGCCTAGGATACAGCACGATCATCGCACAATGTACGATTCACGTTTACTGACCAACCAATAAAAATGCGACATGAAATGAACGCGACGTGGCGCTAAAACATATACCTGCATACCTCAAGCTCTTATGCCTTCCTCTTTCGCCGCTTCCACTTTTTTTCAGCACACATAAAAAAATACAACTGCTAAAGTATGATTTATCATGCTCTTTTTGTTTACTACTAGCGCATGCTGGTGACATTTTATTCTTCTATAGGAACGTGTCGTAGCGTACAAGTCAACAGGTGTCATCATCGTACAGTCTACACACACGTCGTAGCCAAGTTTATTAGATCCATGTCGCACAATGTGACATGCAGTGATCTTATAGGATTGCTAAAATCGTGCAGTGTGTTTTGGGTTTAAGACTAAATGATGCACTAGTTTTTACAGGAATACTCCAGTAATCTGAAGTTGCCTACTGTCTTTTACAGTTTCACTTGCAAATACTCATCATGAGTAGGGCTGGGCAAAAAAATCGATTTTCCGATTAATCGTTTTTTTTAACCCTTTAACTGTCACCCGTCCCCTCTGTGGGACGCCTAAGTTTACGTCACTATATTACAATTAAATCCTAATCTAATCATGACAATCTACATATCATTGGAAAGGTCTAAGACTCCTAAATAATTTTTTACAAAAACATTGGTAAAATATCTATGTAGGAAAAGTAATAGATTAATTTATGACAAGAGTGCACCTCAAAACTTTACATCATAACAGGAGTTCTGACCTTTGTCAAAAAAAGTCTTCTTTGTTGCCTTTTTCTCTATCACACTTTAGAAATCATCAGAAATTATATATCAATTGAAAACTTTAAATCTCAAAATTCATCCTTTGAAACCCATTTTAAAATCAAACATTGCATTACCATGAAAATGGTTCATCAATATCATGTTACAAAATGTTTTCGTTCACGAATTTTAAAAATTTAAGTTTGGATCGTGCACTTTCATGTCTATGTTCTAGGGTTAAAATGACGTTGATTCGATATCGATTCTCAAAAGCTGCGAATCGATCTTTTCCAGTATTTATTTCAGCACACATTTAAAACAAGATCTGATTAACGTGAATCTTATCATTAGTCTTCTCCACTAGATGTCACCCTTATTTTTACCTTGCGCGATGTTACAACAGAAATCATGTCATTCATTCAGCACTTATCATGGCCATACGCGCAATTCGCAATGCTCAGGTGAAATGCTATAGTAATACTATAAATCTGTGGAAGCATTTGATATCACGCACAAGGCGCCATGATTTCCGCAATGAATGAATGGCGGATGGTGCGGCGCACTTTTTTGTTTACTACACATACTAAAGCGCAGATGACTCTCGCGGTGTTTTCAGCTTCTGCCGTCTCACTATATGATGATATGAACACGAATGTCATCTCCAGCTGCTCTGAGAGTCACTTCATTAGCATTTACCGTTTCATTTGAGAAATCTACCGTCATTTCACATTCACAGCAGCTGGAAGTTCTTCACGGCAACCCGTCAAAATAAAAGTTTAGTTTAACGTTCTGCTGTCAGAATATATTACTGAAAAAAAAAAAAAATCGAGAATCGAATCGAATCGGGACATCTGAATCGATACCCAGCCCTAATCATGAGACACTACTACTTATTCTAGTACTTATTTTAATAGTTACAAGTATATGTTCCATTTTATAAGTGCCAAATGAGTTGACTGTAGTAGGCCTGCCATTCAGATACTATTGTATTCCAGTTGTTACAAGTAAATTTTTTCTTAATCATACTAGTAATAGTTTTATATAATTTTACAGTTGCTGTTCTGGGGTTTGTTTCCCAAAAGCAACTATGGTCGCAAGTTCCGTCATTACTAGGGGGTTTGCATCACGGTTTTAGAGTGACGGTTTCGGTATGGTTCGGTATGTGCTATGTTTAGGCATGAGTGATTTCTTTGTTGTTGCTGTTTGATTAATATTAAGAAAGTGCTGTCACTTTAAGAGAATGCACTGATACAGTACGTTCAGCTGGCTATGTCTGCTATAGTATACTTATCAAGACTGGCATTTTGAAATCATTTTTGTGTGAATTTGTCCATTTAAACACAATACTTCAGAGAAAGCTTAATATTTGCGCACGTTCTGAGGTGCGGGTTTGCACGCTTCGGATGAGCGCACGCACAGATCTCACTTTGCGCGCGAGCTCGCGTCATCTGGCTCTTAAATGTTTAAACTGGCAAAGCTTAAACGAGTTTAGCTTAAACACAGATATCAACGTGTGCTGTTCACGTCTCACCTGTGTGCGCGCGCGCTATCAGCACCCGGGTGATGACGGAATAAATGCTCATATTCCAGCATACGGCAGTTGCATTGAACAAGAGTGAATGGTTTGTCAACGTTTTTTTTTCATCGCTGTTGTTGTAATGTATTGGGAAGCCAGAATGCGCATCCATCAACAGAAACATATATTAGCCGAACCCTGTTTGTTTTACGTGTTATTTATAGCAAACCATATTACAGATGCGTTGTCAGATTTAAGTTGAACCGCGGTCCTAGCGCGTGCCGAACCGTGTGTGGAGAACTGTACGGTTCGATTGTTTTGCGCGAACCGTTCCACCCCTAGTCATTACCAATAGAGTTCAGTGGAACTAATGACCATAGTTAGCTAGCGATGGTTTTTGGGAAATGCACCCCTGGTTAGTACATATGACTGGTAGAAAAAAGAGGTTGGGTGAAAAAGGTGCAATAATAAATACTAGTGACAACTGGGATAGATAATACTGTCTAAAAATTAAACTAAAAAACTAAAAATTAAAATGTCCTAAGTAATAAATACTATATAGCAGGGGTGGCGAACTCCGGTCCTGGAGAGCCGCAGCCCTGCAGAGTTCAGCTCCAACCCTAATTAAAACTCACCTGCCTGTAGCTTCCTAGTAACCGTTCAGACCTTGATTAGCTTGTTCAGGTGTGTTTGATTAGGGTTGAAGCAAAATTCTGCAGGGCTGCGGCTCTCCAGGACCGACGTTCGCGACCCCTGCTATATAGTATTAAATTAATAGTTATTAGTTTAATCGTTTTAAGTTTAAAGGATTAGTTCACTTTCAAATAAAAATTTCCTGATAATTTACTCACCCACATGTGATGTTTACGGTTCATGTCAAATTACATGTCATCCAAGATGTTTACGTCTTTCTTTCTTCAGTCGAAAAGAAATTAAGGTTTTTGATGAAAACATTATACACAATACCAGACGAGGAATAAGGGCCTTATCTAGCGAAACGATCAGTCATTTTCTAAAAAAATGTATATGCTTTATAAACAGAAATGCTCGCCTTGCACTGCTCTGTAATGCGCGTCCACGACTTCATATAATACGTAATCACGTTGAAAAGGTCACGTGTGACGTAGGCGGAAGTACCGACTCAATGTTTACAAGTCGAACATGCAAAGACTAAGTCAAACGCCGTTTACAAAAAAATTCGAATATGTGTCATTAAACATACAACAACTTTTGAACGGTCCTCCTCCTCCAAATTTGTAAACACTGACTGAGTCAGTACTTCCGCCTACGTCAAGCATGACCTTTTCAATGTAATTACGTATTACGTGAAGTCATGGACTCGCAGAGCAGTGCAAGGTGAGCATTTCTGTTTATAAAGCATATACATTTTTGTATTTTTTTTTTAGAAAATGACCGATCGTTTCGCTAGATAAGACCCTTGTTCCTCGTCTGGTATCGTGTAGAGCCCTTTGAAGCTGCACTGAAACTGTAATTTTGACCTTCAACCGTTTGGTAGCCGTTGAAGTCCACTATAAAGAGAATAATCCTGGAATGTTTTCATCAAAAACCTTAATTTCTTTTCGACTGAAGAAAGAAAGACGTAAACATCTTGGATGACATGTGGGTGAGTAAATTATCAGGAAATTTTAATTTTAAAGTGAACTAATCCTTTAATAGTTATAATAATTAGTGAGGATTTTTTAAAAGGATACTCATCCATATTGGAATACATATTAGTCCAAAGTGTGCAGTTACTCGCATCTCCACAGAACACTGTGGCAAAATTGTTTTAACAGTGACAGTGGCATAAATACTAGTTTTAATAGATAAATGTTAAATGACTTGCCATAGAAAGAGACCTGCCATTGTTCACAGGCAAGATTGAAGCATCTTTATAAACTAACCCAATAGCAGACATCATGTTTGCCAGTGTTTTGATGACACTTTAGAAGAGTCTGAGTGCATTTTCACAGTAAAGTTGGAAATAATGTCTAGCGGCTCTTAAAACTTTGTTTTAGTGTTCAGGAGAAATTCTGTGGAACTTGCTTTTGAGCACATTAATCTTTTAAAACAATATACTGAAGCAACCATTCACCGCGTTATTTGAATCATTTTATTTAGTTTAAAAAAGGCTTGCATAAAACTTTAAGATACTGTGTAAACACAAAGGATTCACATGTGTTTTTGCTTTATTGCAGTCCCTGGGATGGAGGGAGGTGCTCTGAATGATGCCAGTCTGACCAACTCGTACTTCAGCAGCACCTTTATTGGGGTCAATGGGTTTGGTGGCCCAGCAGAGTCCAAATATTCAATGATGCAGGTAACATAACCACTAGTGTGACTGTGTGTGGTGAAAAACAGGAAACTAATAGAAAATACTAGTAACTGGGTCCGTCAAATGGAGCACACAGTGGTGATTCATAATGGGACACTTCACATGTTGATGGTTGCTTGTGTTATTAGAGGATGACCAGCAGTAGCAGTTCTCCAAGTCTGCAGAATGATGGTGCCAAGAGCTTCAGCCACGGCACACATGGTGAGTTAAAAATTGTTTGAAATTTTTGTTGCGGGAATAAAGAGGTCATGACAAGATTTGAAAACCTTTTCTATGTGTCCGCTCCACTTTTTAGATCCAGTAAATTCCCCAACATCATCTCTCTTCAGTGATTTTGGTGGTTTGAGCATATCACAAAGGAGAAAGGTAAGAGTTTAACATGTCAGTTTATGCTGTTTGTATTGTGCTCTGACAGGTTATTTTGTTGATGGAAGAATCACTTGTATTTCTGACATCTTTCGAGAAGGCATAATGGAATAAAAACATTTCCAACTTGACCAATTTTGATAAGACTAATCATCCAACAATTGACCAGTCGATTAGTGAGTTTTAAAAATTATATATTTTTAGCAGTGGAATTTTAATTACTATTCTGACATCATGCTGTGTTTTAACATTTAGAGAGTTTGCAAAGGAAATCCCTTAAAAAAAAAAAAGCTGTGTATTTAATTTCCTCCGCATTCATTTTTATCTAATTATATGTATTTTAGTATAACATTTTTTTTTATATGTATATATAATTATAATTTATTTTTATGTATTTTAGTTATTGTAATCTTTTTTTAAAGCAAGCAAACAAACCAACCAACCCCACTTTGAAAACCCCTGCCCTAAGAAACGAGACTTGATTGAATCAGGTGAATCAGAAACCAGCCTAATGATACAGGTGTTGCTTGAGACATTAGCTGAGTAGTCAATTTTGAATAAATGTTGCTTTGCACATCCCTAACTTGGAAAAAGTTGTGCCAGTACCAAGATGACAGTGCCAAAATATACTTTCTTAAAGGTGTCAGGCTGAAAACATTATGGTTTTATTTGTATCTGCGTTTTTTTTTTTTCAGGCTCCTAACCCCACAGCCAGTGAGTTTGTCCCTAAAGGGGCCCCACGGATGGCCTCCATGTCTCAGACGACCGTGCCAGCATTCACCTCCCCCATCTTCCCTCATCCTGGCTTGAGCAGCTCCACGGCGGCTGCTCTTGCACCTGGTCAGTGACTCACTCCCAGAAAGTACCACCTGGTGTTCTGCCATTCTGTCTGTCCTTTTTGTTTTTTTGCTAGATCTCTTTTCTTATGTTCAGCATTTCTGTTCAGTTTTTTAATGTGTGTGATCTTTTAGGTTGCGAATCTGGTCAGGTTACTCCGTTTATAATTAGGCTTGAATATCTGTTTTTTTGGACAGGTATGTCGCTCTCTGCTGGGTCTTCTCCTCTTCACTCCCCCAAAATCACCCCTCACACGTCCCCAGCCCCGCGGCGGCGCAGTCACACGCCCAACCCCAACCCAGCCAATTACATGGTGCCCACCACTGCGTCTGACCAGGGAGGCGGAGCCCACGTGATTCAAAAGGAGACCGTGGGCGGGACTACCTACTTCTATACCGACAACACCCCTGCTCCCTTGGCCGGAATGGTATAGTCCATGTTAATCACAATTTGGTGTGTGCTATTATTGCCTTTAACTGGTTTACTTAAAATATAAAATGTGCTGTTCGCATTTTCAGGTGTTCCCAACATATCACATGTATCCGCAAACGGCACCTCATGTGGCATACATGCAGCCAAAAGCCAATGCACCATCCTTCTTTATGGCTGATGAACTCCGACAGGTAATCTGCCATTTCTGCCCTCATCTGTTAGCCAGTGTTGTTTAGTAGTTGGTTGTTGACTGTCATTTTTCACATATTTGTCCTTGTTTGTAGGAGCTGATTAACAGGCATTTGATAACGATGGCACAGATAGATCAGTCTGAGAACCCTGGTAAGGATGTGGTTTGTCTTGTGTTGGCATGACATGTCAACAGTGTTTGGTTTCAATGGACAACACGGCTACTGTTCAGTTATAATGTCTGTTTTGTGGTCAGAGCATATGGATTCACCTGCTGTCTGAGTAGAAAACCACATCCTTTGTCTGTCTGCCATTTTTAATTGGTTTGAAAAGCATTTCACATAGTTATCCACCTTTGTGTCATCTCTATCATCTCTCTGTTTCTATATAGTCAAGTGTTTATTTTGGTGCATGTGTGTGTAAGAAAAGGTGTGTTAGATAATTGAAATCTCTGTTCCATCTCTCCTTCAGGAGTGCCGTCTGAGGTAGACAGTTACCACAGCCTCTTTCCCCTGGAGCCCCTTCCCCCACCAAACCGTCTTCAGAAAACCAGCAACTTCAGTTACATCACTTCCTGTTACAAGGCAGTCAACAGCAAAGATGACCTGCCTTACTGCCTCAGGAGGATACATGGTGAGGCATAATGTATTTGTATGTACAGCTGTTCCTGTAGGGAGTTTGCACATTTGTTTTGAATTCCATTTTTACATCACTGTTCTTTACAATGGCAGTATTTATGGATAACCAATCGAACCACATAACTAAAAATGAAACAATTTGAAGTTCAATATGGTTTTAAAGTGCTTATGGTAATGAAAGTACCTAGATCTAATATCTCGAGAACTAAACAATAAACAGTCCCTGCATCTTGGCAGCACAATGACACATTGTGTCTTCGTTTTTTTGCTTTAATACCCACATGTGTAACTTGTGTCCTTGTGTGCATTCACAGGCTTCAGGCTGGTCAACACCAAGTGTATGATGCTGGTACCCGTATTAAAAAATTTTTTTTTTTTTTTTTGGTTAAGTGTGCGAGCATGTCCATGTCCATACTATTGTGCAACACAGCTTTAGGTTTTGAAATTATACATTTGATTATGGGTCAGTGATATGAAGCTCATTTTTTCTTTTTGTCCTATCTATTAATTTATTCAAAAGCACCATACATTTTTTTTTTTACAAATGCAATGACTTGAACAGTCCTCTGCTCTGAAACATATTTTTAAATGATGAATTTCTGAAGAAAAAAAATGATTCAAAGAGCTTTTCTTAAAAAAAACCTTTAGTATAGCTTGCTTTATTTCTTTAAAAATCTTTTTCACAAAAATGGTCATTAATTTATTAAACCATGTTCATTTCTTACTAATATTTGAAAACTGTTGTTCTTACTAATATTTATATTTCATATATAATATTTTTTGTCTTACTATTACTAATACTATTTAAAAATAGTATAAATGTTTTTCAAAGGAGGACTAGGAATGTGTTTTGAACTAGTTTTTTTAAAAGTATTTTTTATTAATTTTTTTATCATGAATTGACCCTTTTGAACTCTTTTCATATGATCACGTTTATCCTTCGCAGCACTGGTATTTTCCTATGACTTCCATGCGGGGGCAGAGACCATGTTCAGCAGGCACTTCAACGATCCGGCTGCGGATTCTTACTTCACAAAGAGAAAGTGGGGTTAGTTGTTTCTTGCTCTGTTGTTTCTGTTTGTGTGTGTGAGGATGCAGCCGTTAGATACAGAGTACGTCAAGTGCTTGGTGGCAGTTGCGTCTTCGTGAATGTGTAGCGAGGAAAGAGGAAGGAGTGGTTGAAACCGATCCCGCCTCAGGTGGGTTCAGTACCTGCAAGCTCAAGACTGACAGAGGAAGCAAAACCCAGGGATGATGTTTAGCTATAAACAGCTGCAGCGCATACGGCTGCATCAACCACAGTGCAGCCTCAAACCATAAAACGTGTGTTTGTTATCAGGATGGGCTAAAATACAGCAATATATTATAATAACCAGTCACAACATCTAAAAAAAAAGTACACTTATTCTTATACATTGATATAAAATTTTAATTAATACCTTGATGTTAAAGTTTAATTGCCTGTGTTTATTTGTCAGCTACCATAACACAAGATGCTGTAGACATTTGGTTAATGTCTTAATTGTTGCAATGTTAACTATATTATTTATTTAGAATTATTTAAATTTTATTTACCTATTTATTTTTTGTTTTGAGAAATAACTTTCAGTTTTCTTCTATCAGGGCAGCATGAGCTCCCTCCTCCACGGCAACATGCGGGCTTGTTACCAGAGTCGCTGATTTGGGCCTACATTGTCCAGCTGAGCTCGGCACTGCGCACCATTCACACGGCTGGGCTGGCCTGCAGGGTCATGGAACCTAGTAAGATCCTCATCACTGGAAAGACACGGTACAGCCACATGCATCTTGCTCATTTAAACCCAGAAGTACATTGATGTTACTGATTGTGTGGTAATGTTTTGCTTTTTTTGTAGCAAATTTTCGCTTTTTTTCTGAACTACTACCCTAACCGTGCAAAACAATACAGTAACTGGTAAAGACAAAGCACAGTTCTGCAGAATCTTCTTAAAAGTTTGCTGTAGTTAACCAACTTATGAAATGAGGGACAGTCAAACCACAGATCGGTCAGTGTTCTGTGGGGCCCTTATTTTCTAGCCATAAATAGTGAATGGAGAAGTTCACTGTTAGATTATTTTTGCTCTTCCTTTATTATGTACTGACTGTTTTTCAGCTTCTCACAGCAGCATTTGCACAAATAACCAAACATACAAACACTGCTAAATGTTTGTTGTTTCTCCATAGGTTACGAGTCAACTGTGTAGGAATGTTTGATGTCTTAACATTTGACAATAGTCAGACCAACCACCTGGCGCTGATGCCCCAGTACCAGGTACTGAACATCTCATTTACACCCAAACACATACATAATTTGACTGTGCATCATCATTTAATCAGATTTTGTTAAACCCCCGTTCAAAAGTCTGGGGTTGGTAAGGTTATTTTAATTTTGTTGAAGGAAGTTTCTTATGCTCATCATGTTAAAATAACTTTTATATTTTAGTATATTTTAAAATGTAATCTATTACTGATTCCATTTTCAGCAGCTATTAATCCAGTCTTCAGTGTCACATGATCCTTCAAAAATCATTCTAATATGTGACCCTGGACCACAAAACCAGTCTCAAGTCGCTGGGGTATATTTGTAGCAATAGCCAAAAATACATTGTATGGGTCAAAATTATGGATTTTTCTTTTATGCCAAAAATCATTAGGATATTAAGTAAAGATCATGTTCCATGAAGATATTTTGTACATTTCCTACTGTAAATATATTAAAACTTAGTAATTAGTAATATGCATTGCTAAGAACTTCATTTGGACAACTTTAAAGGCGATTTTCTCAATATTTAGATTTTTTTTGCACCAGATTTTCAAATAGTTGTATCTCGGCCAAATATCATATCCTAACAAACCATACATCAATGGAAAGCTTATTTATTCAGCTTTCATATGATGTATAAATCTCAATTTCGAAAAATGTGACCCATATGCTGATTTGGTGCTCAAGGAACATTTTTAGGAATGTTTATCAACAGTTGTGCTGCTTAATAAATGACATTTCAATGAAATGCTTTTCTTTCAAAACGTCCTAAAAAAGGTACTTTTGATCAATTTAATGCATCCATCCTAAATATAATAAAATAAGTCTTAAAGTCTTAGTGACCCCAAACTTTGGTGTAAATAACATTTTACTAATAAATTAATCACAATTATTTTTGTAGCAGTTAATTGCCAGAATTTCATGACCGTGACTATATAAAAATTTTTTTGTCTTGAGTGTTTGTCGTTTTACACTTTGGGTCTAAGTTTCATCAGTTGCTGTTCCTCTTTGTGTCCATCAGCAAGCAGATCTCATCTCCCTGGGGAAGGTGGTGTTGGCTCTGGCGTGTAACTCTCTAGCTGGCATTAAGAGAGAGAATTTGCAGAAGGCCATGGAGCTGGTGTCAATCAACTACTCTTCTGACCTCAAGAACCTCATTCTGTGGGCCTCTATCTCTTTTTTACACACATTTTTTTATAGCCTAAATGCTCTCAAAGTGGTTATACTATGCCATATGTCAGTTTGTGGTTCTGTATGTGTCCTGTTAAGACTAGTTAACATGTTCATGCACTCATACATTCTCGCTTGTGCATTAGTTTGAATGTGGTGCCACATCTTATGGTCATGTTTCGATCTTCAGGTACCTGCTCTCAGAACAAAGCCGTCTGCGCAGCGTCAATGACATTATGCCCATGATTGGAGCACGATTTTACACTCAACTTGATGCCTCTCAAATGAGAAATGATGTCATTGAGGAGGACCTGGCCAAGGTATTTAAATTAGTTTAAAAATATACATTTTCTATCCACCTTATCTTTCGCGCAAGCGTAAATGGCTGCAAGCGTAAATGGCTGTTTGAAACTGCAAACTGATGTTTTTTTACCTTATTATTTTAATGTATCATCTTAATTATAAACACACTGGTTTGTAGCACAAACCATTTTACCGTTTACTGCTCTTTGATATTCTCGTTATTTCCCTATAGAGGCTAATCAATCAAGTCTCGCACATTCACAGAAAATGGCTTACTTCCACATTTAAAAATAAGGTGGATACACTAGTGTTTCAAACAGAATGATGCTGTTTATTGTAAATATTTAAGTCAGTTTATTATGAATGAAAGTATTTATTATAAAAAAAATTACATTTAATTGCACCTTTTTTTTTTTTTTGCAGTAATGTGATATTGATTTACATTTCACAAACCTACATACAAACATTTATTGGTTAATTTAAAGCTGGATGTCACTGAAAATAAAAATGTGCAGTTCTCTGAGATTCTTAATCAGTTATTGATTCTTTAATCATTCCTGATGGATTCAGTGATTCATTCAGTAGAATTGTCAGACTAATTGAAACAAATAACTGACTTTATTTGCGATTCATTAAAAGAACCAGCTCAAAAGAATCATTCTTTTTTTGTTTTTAAATCGAACTACACTAGTTATGCTGTGGTGTTTGTTTTTGAAGCCGGACAGCCAGAGAATATAAAGTTGTTGCTGGAAAGTTGGGTTGAAAAAGGCATTATTTTGTCAGTCTTTTTATCTTGTCACTTTCCATTTAGAGTCACAACTAGGCTGTAGATTCGATATCACTTCAGGAAACAAAAAGAAACACCCTTGCAGACCGAGCTATCCAATTTACTCAGTATGCCATTATCTAGTGTGTGCTGATCTTGCACTGGAGGGGGTGGAGGTGTGATCACTAGATATTTTGGATGGTTTCAGCTGTTCTCTCTTCTGCTTTCCTCCTTTTAAACACTCGTATCAGATGTGTGAAGGCTTTTTTTTTTGTACCAACCTTTTACAAACACCTACAAAACATGCATTGTTGCATTTAACCCCTTTTTCATCAAGAATGTGGACTTACTATATTAAACACCGTGTGTCTCCTGTGTTTGTTTGACACTGCTGCATCTGATGTGAGAGCGAATGTGACTCAGAAAGAGGTTTAAATATGACCTGGGTTCCTCTCTAACTTCCCTTCTCATGATCTACAAAGTCTCACTTACGCAAACCCAAAATAAATTTTTTTGTTATTCAAAAACGATCCTAATAAATTTGTATTACAACTTTTTGCTTATGCATCTGCATTTTGCAGGAGGTTCAAAATGGGCGATTGTTCCGCCTACTGGCAAAACTGGGAACGATCAACGAGAGACCAGAGTAAGTCTTTTATTACAACTAAAGTGCTGAAACCTTTCTGAAATGGCAACCTTTTATAGAATACTTTCAAAATGCTTCACGTCAACGTGTAATGTAATATTTATTTCTTGTAGGTTCCAGAAGGACCCGACGTGGTCTGAGACTGGTGATCGTTACCTGCTGAAGCTCTTCAGAGATCACCTGTTCCACCAGGTAACTGAGGCAGGCACACCCTGGATCGACCTCAGCCACATCGTGTCCTGTCTCAATAAGGTGAGCTTGTTTAGCTTGTGCCTATTTGTGAATAGACACCATAATGAATTTAATGCAAATGAAAACGAGGCTGTGAGGGACAGACTTTATAGACTTTGTCTTTACAATGACAGGTACTATATAAAGCTCACAGCTTTTTTTGGAGTTTGGAGCAGTTTTATGGAGTTTTTTTTTATTTTTATGGAAAGACGTTTCATCACAGCTATCTAAGGAACCCTGGCTAAGGTCAATTGGAGCTCATGTTATATCCGGGCCAACAATTTATTAAATTGTTTAAAATTATATTAAAAATGCAACTTGTATATACAATTACTTTAATACACCTGTTTACTTTAATGCAACATGTTTAATTTCTGAATTGAAAGGTTTTTTAAATATTTTTGAAGGGGTGGTAAAGTAAAAACTGTCAAGAAAAAAGCCTCATTAAAAGAATTAATTACTTGAAAATAAAATCTTTTCAATCTTTATTTTTGATTAAAAAAAAATATATAAAAAAAACGCTTATTAATTTTTTGAAAAGTACAAGATAATTTGACCTTATGACAAGGGAAGGTTAGTTTAGGTTGTAATGACTTGAAATTTATGAACTCATTCACGACTTTTTTTTTTTAAATGCCTTTGAAAAAAAACGCTTATTAATTTTTTGAAAAGTACAAGATAATTTGACCTTATGACAAGGGAAGGTTAGTTTAGGTTGTAATGACTTGAAATTTATGAACTCATTCATGACTTTTTTTTTTTAAATGCCTTTGAAAAAAAAAAAAACGATGAGTACACATGTATTTATGGTGTAAAGAAAATGTTATTAATTTTTCTTGATAGTTACACCACATGACATTTTTAGTGCCATTAAATTTAAATTTTTATCTTAAATAGTATATGTTTTACAAAACCAATATGAAAACAAACCATACATATCTAAGAACATGGAACATATTTTAAACCAGATTTTTTTTAATTTTTTTTTGCAGTAGCATTTTGTTTTAGTGTACTTGTTGCATTACATGGATTTACTATATTAATAACAGTAAATTATGTATAATTACAAGCAACTAACCCTAATCCAAACCCTTATCCTTACTATAAACTTATAGTAAGTACATGTTGTTAATTAATGTTACTGAGTACTTAATTGTAGAATTACATATATTTTGAATTACGTATATAATTTGTAACTTTAAAATGAAATGTAACCGATTTTTCTTATTCATTGTCATGGAACTCTATTATTTGTCAGCTGTGCTAGTTTAACCAGTTGACTATTTTTGTCACTAACTTCCTTTAATTTCTCATTGCAGTTGGATGCTGGAGTACCGGAGAAGATCAGTCTGGTGTCACGGGATGAGAAGAGCGTGCTCGTGGTGACTTACTCAGACCTGAAGCGCTGCTTTGAGAGCACCTTCCAGGAACTGCTTGCTGCCACGAACGGCCCCCTGTAACCCCCAGCCATCCACAAGAGTGGGCTGGAACTGCCTGAAACAGAGCACATTGCACTACAGCCTGGAATCATAGGTGCAGAATGATGATCTCGCGACCAGGGCGGAGCCAGCTGGTTGCTCACCTCCAGTCAGATACACTGTTCTGTCCAGAGAAAGTTGTTTTCTAAAGCTTATTTTTTTAGTTTTCACAACAACACCGCAGCTGCAGAATTATGAACTGAACTGAGAGCTGTGATAATGATGAATTCTTTTTTCTTTTTAGACTTGGGAACAATGTCCAAAAAATAAGAGACTTTACTTCCTTATTTTTTCTTTGGAGGATGCACTAAACATTTCAAGTTCCTTTTTAAGTGATTGTGCGTGTCCCACAGGGTGCGTTCAGGGCCGGGGGCCTCACACATGAAATGGAAGAAAAACAGAGCGCCATTTTTTTCCACATCATCTCCTTGCCCGTTTTTAATGAGGTACTACGAATTGGGACAGACCACTGGTCATGTGTTCAGAGTCCTCGGCTCTGATGGGACAAACTGATGAGACTGACCACTTATGAATGTGTGGCATAAGTAGTAATGTGCCGCCACTCCTCGTCTGCTGTATTGACTCATTTAAAAGTTGGCCATCTTGGAGGCGGGAGGGGAAGTTACTGGTTGCCTGCAGTCGAGGGGGATTCCACGACAAAGGGGTGCTCTCTCCTCTTGCTGTGTAAACTTGTCGTTTATTTCAGAATTTCGCAACATCCTTTTTCATTTTACGGATGCTTTTTGAAATCGGATTTTGAGAGGATGGATTTTCGTTGTCGTTTCTGTTTTTTTTAGTCGGGCTTTTGTGATGGGAACCAAAGAACTGGACCACGCTAGCAAGGGAAGCCAGTTCTGTCTCATTGTGGAATGTCCTCTTATGCCTCTGTTGTGGAGCATCCCAAGTTTCTGTCCATTTCGTCATTCTTTTTCCTAATTCATTCTCGTTTTCCCGCTCTCCACGCTAGTATTGGTTTAGATCTAGTGAATCTCAGTATAGAGCTCTCTTGTGTTGTTACGGTCGTTCCCTTTCCTCACCAAGTTGTTGTACAGAGATGCATGATGGGATGTTTCTCACTGTGGACCAGTCCCAGCAGGATGGTTGGGATTCTATTGGTTTCTCTTGGTTTCGTTTTTGTTTAACTATGATTTGACCTATGAATTATGTGACAACATCCAGAAAACAGTTTGGAATTCGCTCAGGTTGATCCCTGACAGGAATATGCCAATGACTGAATGTGTCTGACCTGTCATTGGTGACTGCCCAATCCGTGAGTCAAGGAACAGGCGGGACTTGCAGCACAGATTTGGGTGTGCCACACTGGACCGAGAGGGTGCAGGATACAGCAGGCAGATCTGAGGATGCTGTGAGTTCAATAATGTACTTTTTCCCTCTTCTTTTTTGTTTTAGTCAACTGATACTTGGTGGACATGGTGCCAAGCCCGTATCCCTCTCCGAATCTCTCTCACACACACACACACACACATTAATACACCTTTTACAGGCCGATCTCATATCATGTACCCAGTTTCCAGTGGAACGCACTCCAGGCACATACATACATATGCACTCATACATGAAATCCTCCTTCACCATCCCAGTACGTTTTATGCCCTTCTTGTGTTTGTCACATTTTTGCAATATTTGTGTGTACAGCAGTATTTTAATAAAGAGTAATAAAAGAGAACACTCGTTTGTTTGTTCTTAAATGGCATGATTGTTGCTTGAGTAGAGTATGATGAACTACAGCAGCAAAAAGGAACTTGTTAGCAACTTTTGGCTGAAAGTCAGAGCACAGAGGAGAAGAATCGGATGCTTTCCAAAATAGATGCTACAAAAATGACCAGCACTGACAAAGCAGCAACGAGACCCAGTCTCAGATATGGTTTTGAATGGTGCAAATGTTTTACAGCAGAAATGTTTGTGCCTATCAGGGTTGAGATTAGTGTCATGATAGCAAAGGTTTTTTTAACCCATTTTTTTAACTACTGTAACATACACTACTGTTAGAAAGTTTGGGGTTAGTAAAGTTTTTTCTTTTACTCAGCCGCGATATGTTACATGGATCAAACGTGACCGTAAAGACATTTATAATGGTGCAAAAGATTCCATTTCATATAAATGTTGTTTTGAATTTGAATTTCAAATAATGCTGAAAATATTCTCATGGTTTACACAAACATATTAAGCAGCACAACTGTTTTCAACATTGACAATAATGTTCCTTGAGCAGCAAATCAGCATATTAGAATGATTTCTGAAGGATCAAGTGACACTGTATCTGGAGTAATGGCTGCTGAAAATTCAGTTTTGCTAACACTGGAATAAATTACTTTTTTTTAAAACACTAATATATATACAGTGTTGGGAAGGTTACTTTGGAAATGTAATAGGTTACAGATTACAAGTTACCCTACTTAAAATGTAATAAGTAGTGTAACTTTTCAATTACTTAAAGTAATGTAACTGATTACATTTGATTACTTTTCTAAATGTCTAATATTTTCAACTGTTAATCATTTTCAAACATGTAAACCAGGCAGGGTTAAACTTACAAAATGTGCTCAACACTGATAACTGTCAGACTTTCGAAATCCTTCATCACTTGAATAAAGATTATAATATTTTAATTTTAAAGGAGACATTGGATGCAAAATATCTTCATTTGCATATAAATGTGCCTTAGCAGTGTGTGGACACAACCACTACAATGATAAAAATGCACTCCTTTTTTTTAACCCCCCAAAAACCTAAACAGTCTCAATTGTCAAGCCATTTTGATTTTGAAATGAATACCAGCGCTCTCTTCCACCTTCAGTGGGATCGGGAAAGGTCCGATTTGAACACGGGACACCCGAAGTGCAATGGTACTGTATGTCAGCGCGCTGCCCACAAGGCTATCGTTGTCAACACACTTTTTATTTTTTATGATTATTTTCGAATCGCGTTTGTTCTTCCACAAAAGAGAGGGGCGGGGTGAGCAGAGCTCATTAGCATGTAAAGAGATATGCACGGAAACGAGTCGCTGTGAACAGAGCTGTTTTTGACAAGGTAAAAAGGGTGTTTTACACGACCATTTCAAGAATACCCTAAAGAATCATACCAACGTGGAAAATGGGCATCCGATGTCCCCTTTGAAGCACAGCCACCACAAAATCAGACTTACTTTAAAATCATTCTGAGGTTAAATACATATTTAAAATCATAACAAGAAATAGTTTAATAGCTATGATACTGTTTTTGAAATCAAATCTTTGCATAGACAGGAAACACTGGAATCTAACAATGCCTTAGAAAAAAACAGTTGATCTTAAAAAAATAAAGCATATACATAAACCCTATCGGATAAGCATGCTATGAACTTCTGAAACATTGGTGTTTCATATTTTAGAGCAGTCACTGCAATTTATGAAAGAACTTAAATATGTATGTGGGAGTGTTTGTGAAAAAAATCAGATGTAACCCCCTTTGTAATCCTTAACATTTTCATAAGTAACTGTAATTTAATTACATATTTTTTCTTAGTAACTGTAACTGATTACAATTACATTTATTTTGTAATTAAATTACGTAATTCCGTTACATGTAACTAGTTACTCCCCAACACTGTATATATATATATTTATTTATTTTCCATTAAAATTTATTTTATTCTACCAAAACTAAAAAGTCCTGTTCTCATTTGCAGGCTTTGTGCATTGGCAGTATCATGTGAAAAATGTTCGCTTTGGCTCTAGATCTTAAATCTGTAATTTCATTATTTTTCAGCATAAATACACCATATATACTATAATATTTTCAGAGGTTACTATTAAGGTACTAACTGTAAATAAATAGTGTAAGATGAACTTTTCCAGCATATGGCTTGCAGCACATGAAATGTGCTCTACAGCTAAACATTTGGTACCTACAAGCAGTGAATGTAATAAATGCTTTTCATAAATAATATTAGCTGCTCTGTGACTACTAGAACAAAACTAAAGTGGTACAGATTACCAGTGGCTTCAAAGAGGGTATACAGATATGAGATAAGAGTTTAAAAACAAAAATGCTGAAATGCTAGTTGCCAACAAGATAGTAACAATCATTGGCGTCGCTAGGCCATTTTTAGGGGGGCTATAGACAGATATATTGCATACTTGAGCTAAGGAAAGAGGGTTGTACTAGAAATGCAAACAGTAAAATTTTGTGTTTGTACAGTAAATAGGTTGTGTGTGTGTGTGAGATCATGAAGACTTGAATTTGTCTTATTCAGTAGGCTACACAAATGTTATACCTATCTATGCAATACAGTGGAATACTGCAATAAGTTTAGTATACGACCCTTATTAATCAAACATTTTTTATTTATATATATATATATATATATATATATATATTATTATTATTATTATTAGGCTATTATTATTATTATAATTATACCCTCACTGGGGGCTGAGTCCCCCTAAAATTAAAATCCTAGAATCGCCCCTGGTAATACTGCAGACAAAAGTCATGCAAAACATGGAAATTTCCAGGCCTGAAGAAGTTACAGATGAATTCCAATTAACTCCTAAAATAGAAATTTCCATATGAATTTTTGTTAATGTTATAATTGGCTAATAATTGCTTTGTGTAAGTGTAAGCTCTACAATTTTTCAAAATGTTCTCATTTAATTTTCTTTTTTTAAATCCTTAACCAGTAATTATGAGTGATTAAAAGATTCACAGAAGTTCATTGGGTAAAGAGGTGTGGGAATGTGCAGAGATTCAGTCAGAAACACTGCTTTGACCGGACAAACCTCGCACAATAAGGTACTGAAAGCAAAAGAGTTGAGATAAGCAGTGTTTTTGTGGTGGTGGTAACAGATGTTGACTGGTGTTTACACGCAGCTTGGCTGACACGAGAGTTAGAAACGGGGGTAGAGGAGAGCAGCATCATAGTCTGGTGGGGGAGAGCAGCACCTCTGAGAGTAACACACAGGAGGAACCTCCCTCTGATGACAACAAGGGGCACTATTCATACAAGGCAGCACTTTTGCAGGCAGCTTCATGTGCTGGTTTTGACCTTTGGAGAAGAACCTGTAACACAAAAGGCAGTGACCTCATTTTATGTAACTAATTACATACATGTAACTTAATGCTCATTTTTCACACGTTCATTTTAACATACACTCTATTGCCAAAAAAGTATTGGGACACCCCCTTCTAATGAACAGGTTTGACTACTTTAGTAATTTACAAATCTTGTAATGTTTAAACATATAATGCTATTCTAGGGAAGTGTGTGCTTCTAATGTAATAGCAACAGTTTGGACAGGACCCTTTTCTAATTTTCTAACATGACCATGCCTCTGTGTATAAGGCAAGGTTCAAAAAGAAATGATTGATTGAGTCAGTGTGGAAGAACTTGACTGGTCTGCAGAAAGTCGAGTCCTGATCCCAGCTGAACACCTCTGGTGTGACTTTAAATGCAGACCTTGAGCCAAAAACTCATCACCAAACACCAATGATCATATGAGACGCTTCCAAAACTGTTGCAACAGACATGGAAATACAATGTTTCAATTATGTTTCCATCTTTGTTGCCACAGTTTTGGAAGTGCCTTTTTTCTGTTCTAAAGAAGGGGGTGTCCCAATACTTTTGTCCATATAGTGTACACTTCAATTTCAAATTTTGGGGTTGGTAAGATTTTTTAATGTTTAGGAAAGTTAGGTGCTCACCAAGGCTGCATTTATCAAAAATAAAATGAAAAGGTAATATTTTGAAATATTGCAATGTAAAATAATGTATACTTTAAAAATGTAATTCCTGCGATGGCAAAGCTGAAACAGAAGTTTCAACTAGAAGCTGAAATAGTTCAAAACAACAGCATTTATTTAAAACAGTAATCTTATAAATGTTTCTACTATCACTTTTGATCAATTTAAAGCATCGTTGCTGAATAAAAGGACTCTATAAAAAGTCCTTAAAATAAAAGATCTTACTGACCCCAAACTTTTTAATGGTTATGTAACAGATCATCGAAGCCAATGTCATGACACCTACTTAGTGATGTTTTTGATTTTAAATCTGTCCATCCACTTCACCCGAATCAACTCTTCAGACGGGAGAACCATTCCACTGTCAGACTGGTTGTCCTAAAGTAAGATTAAACAAAACAAAAAAAAACAATCAATCTCGACAACTTCACCCAAGTGAAATTCAAGTATATTTTTAAAACACTTACATCAGGGATTTCTTTGTGTAGATCCTCAAAAGTGCTGATGGCTTTGATTTTCCCAGAGCTGATGTAACTAAAATACATTTAAATATTTATCTTAATTTCCTTTAATAATTAATTTGAAATTTTTCATTTATTATTTTAATTTATTATTTATTTTAATGAAACAAGTGTGTTTTTTGAACACACTTTGTATGTATTTTGAATTGTACATATTGTATTTCACATGTAATTATTATTCATATTCAGTTAATATGTTCACATATGATCACATTTGTACCTTGAAGTTCCCAGTGTTTTCTGGCTTATGTCTTTCTGGTCGATGTGCGCCGTGACGGTATTTCCTTCTCCAGAAATAAAAGCGTTCAGTGGAATATAATCCTTTCCATCCTGTTTTTAAAAAAGTGTGTGTAAAAAAAAAAAGTTCTGACCAGTCAAATACAAACAAACACAGTAAATAATGTCCCACCTGTTGGACGCAGGT